ACAGATCTCTACAACCAGGGCATTCATTCCATCCCTTCTACTGGGTGAACTTCAGGACCAGGTGGGACCTACTGAGGCTCTGAGCAATGCCACATCACAGCACCAGCAGAATTTTCCTTCTCCATTTTGTACAGTGCAACTTAATGGCCCTATCGACATCTTCTGTGATATACATCCTATGATCAGTGCAATTACTGCATGTCATCACCACTGTAAATTTACCCAGCCTGAAACCATTTTAAACTTAAACTGCATACTTAAGAACTACTATCCACCTCCTCTTTGTAAATTAGCTATATGATTTATCTGTGGGAACCATTTCAAAAAGTATACATTCAGAAATACATATACCACATGATGTCTTTTCCATATGGCATCTCATAATTATTTTGCTGTGTGTGAACATGATGAAAACAGTTTCATAATTCTCTAAGGGTTAGGGTAAATTATTTCAATTAGACATATTTCAGAGCAAACATTACCTTAGGGTTTATTAATAATAGTACCTGAGAAGGAACAGCTGCCTTTTAAGCAGTGAGAGCTGTCAGCTTCTCACTGCCCCCCCTGTAGCACCCCTTTTGTGACTCTAAAAAAATGGCAGATTTTCTCATGCTTTACCTAAACAGAGAACTTGGCAGCAGAGACCTGGTTGTAATCCTCAGCAAGGGAGCTGGTGGGTGGATTTTTTCCCTATAAACTCTTGTATAAACCACACCAGTCTCCTGGTATTTATTTTGTGTAATGTTGGAAATCATACACAGATCCAACAGGCCATGTAAAAGAGTTTTGTAACTTCCTGAAATCCTTTCAGACGAAATCTTTTCTCCAACAGTGGTCCCAGGTCATGGGGATATCATCACCAGTTTTTAAGGGCAAGGTTCCTCAGCCGTTTGTAAGAGCAGAACTTTGAAACTAGGCAATGAAAATCTAAATTAGATCAGCTAATTATTAGGAATTGCTAATGGAATTATTAAAAAGGAAATTAGGTTGTTGAGGTATACAGACCATTTTGTAAGCACTGAGCTTACAAGCAGCCTGTGTGACAATTTTTAGTGCCCCATTCCTCATCTAGCTGTTTTTATGTATTAATACTGTGGTATGGCATGCACCGATTTTGAACTACAGCTTCTGTGGTTACACCTTCCTGCAGTTAATACTATTATGTTTAAAGGCAAATGCTTAAGAATCACTTAGTTGTATTCAACTCCCTAAAAACCTGAAGCTGAAGTGTGCTGAGAATCAATTCCTCTCTCTCCTCACCCTACTCTGCTTGCAGGGGTGAGGAAACTGACCTTAAATACACGGTCATTACAGCTGGGTTGAAGAAAGGGACAGAGTCTTTAGGGTGATAAATAATACAGATACAACTGTGGAGAGGGCTGGTGTGACTGACTCCTCGCTACAAACTGTGGGCTGGAATAAAATCTGCCATGGAGCTGTAGGTCTGAGTGGGAAGTAGGGAATTAGCTCCCACCAGATCTGCTTATCCATGAGCACGCATGAAGAAGAGCTGGAGGCACCCAGTATGGACTGAAAAAACTGAGAGCCTTCTAATAATGTCTGTGAAAGCGTTTTAGAATAAATATGCTGAGAAATCAATCCATCAGGTGTGGGTGCTCCATCCCTGGAACTGGTTCCATTGGATGGAAATTTGGGCAAACTGACCTAGTGAGAGTTATCCCTGTCCATGGGAAGGGGTTGGAATTAGATGGTCTTTAAGATCCCTTCCCATCCAACCCTTCTATCATTCTGTGACTGTCAGTCTTTGAATCCTGCAGTCCTTGGGTAGCTATGAACTGAGATGGAGCAGGCGTCTAATTTATATCGTGTATTGCTGCCATCACCTATAGATACATATTTACTTTTATATAAATAGCAAAAAAGGTACAAAGGGAATATCCGTCCATACATAACTGTTGGTATAATAAACACATACACTGCCTATGTTGCTTGAAAGCTAATACCAGGATATCTAAACTGCTTAGCTATCACCAGGCCAAACACGAGAATTACACCACATCATTATCACACTTAAATCTTTGCATCTTAGCTACAAGAGGCAAAAAAAGCCTTTTTAAAGAGAAAAATTGATTGGTAGAAGGCGTTCAAGCTATAAAGTATTTCCTTTTGGTTCAGGTCCTAGTATTTTTGCCTGGCTCAGCTTCAGGCAGCTCTATAACTCTGCTGAATGATTTCCAAAGGGCCTCTTGCCCGTATCTTTGTGCAAGAACACTCACACTTAGCCATGAAATTGCCACAAGAGAAACTGTTTGCTTCCCTGTCTTCTATGGCATTTTGATTTCCCTGGGACTTCCCAAAGAGGAACTTTGCATGGTCCCAGCCCCACAGAGACATTTAGTATTGGGTGCCACCAGCTGAAAACCCAGGACTTTTTCTCTCACCCACTGAATGAGAACCCAGAGCCTCTGATCCCTTTAATATTTTGAAAAAACAAGCCAGTTGTTTCACATTGGGTCTGCTATTTCATTTGGAGAAAAACATATTCTCAGTGGTGGAAGCGTCTAATCTCTTTCTGCATGTCATGCAAGGAAAGGACTGCTATGATAATACCTCTAAACTGTCCTCTCTGCTTAATCTCATTATTTATTATTTTCCCCATAACTAGACAAACATAATTACAGTTCATATGGTTTTACACTTTTCAAAATACCACACTTTGCTGAGTTCAATTCTTTCAACAAGTGTACTGAAGAAATGATGCTTACATGTTGGTTCTCTCTGCCAGACCTTTCCTTCCTTAACCATTTGCAAATCCATTGGCTCATTTCAATCCAGTTCAACAGAGATAGAAGCCCTGGAGATAATTAAATTCCTGTAACTTCTGCTAATATTGGCAGGTGGAGACAGGTAGGAGATTAAAAGGAGTGCCTCTGCTGCAGGAAGACTACAACATGAGGCTCTATGGCACCATTTATCTTGGTTTGGTCACAGCCAATAGGTACATGTGGGGTTCTGCACAGCACCCAGCCTCTCATACAAACAGCAGCTCAGGGAAAATGGAGGCATCATTTGTAGGATGCATGAGGGGATGGGAAGTAGTGCAAGAAGGTGAAAAACTAGTCAGGAGAGAGTCAGGAGATGGAGGACCCAAATTCAAAGGAAATGAAGCTTCAGTAATTCTATGTCTGAGGGAAAAAATGCTTATGCTGTTGTCCTTATTTCCACAATGCCTTATTCTCAAAGCACTGTTTTAGTCATTTTCTACATTGCAATACATTGAGAGCAACCAAACTGACAGGACTGCCTGATATCGAGTGTGGAGAATTTTTTATCCAGTTCTACACCCAGGCACAACATCTTGTCAACTGCCTACTGCTTTTGAACCTTGAAGATTACAGCAGCAATGCAGCAAGGGCTTATATCACCATTCATCTGTACTGTATCTTCTTGCATACTGCAGGGCTCATGCTCATATCTGTTTACACAGTTTTTTGCACCTGTTTTGCAGTTACACTGCACAAATAAATCACGTGTACACTCCTGGTCGACAATTATGCAATATTCTCTATTGGCAATGGGACTAGAGTGGGAGTAAAGAGACAGAATTCTATCTGGTAGTAAAAGGTTGTGGGACTACAGAAAGTTGAGTGTTTTTTTCCTCCCCTCTGTCCATTTTTCCTCTTCCACACTTAGCCTCATTTATTAGTTCAAACTAAAAGTTTGAACTAAAGGAAAGCCCTATTTTCACCAGATATTTGCATGAGGGAGCCCTTTCTTAGTTGAAGTCCAGATGGCCTATAGCAAAGTAGGTAATAACAAGACTCACACATTGGCTTTCTTATATCTGTGTGACAACATCACCATTGAAATGGGAATACTTGACTATGCTGTAAGAATACATTTTCACTTGTATGTTTAGCTGTAACAGGCCCACTAACATACAAACACAAGAATTTAAAAGTGCCTCCATGAGAATTAATGGACAGTCCAACAAAGATCAGATTTGTCTTCTGCCAAGAAATTAATAATCTTAAAGCATCAGAGATTTTGCCATGCCTGCCTAGTTTTGAGTGCCATGTCCAGTCAGTGAACACATTTACCCTACTCCAAGAGAGAGACCAGACTTCTCCCAAATGTTGTCTACCACCCACAAGCCTGTCTCAAGCCCATCCACAAAGTTCCTTTGCTTTTTGAAGAAAAGAGATTTTCCTTGATAAAGGTGATTATCAGGCATTAAAGGCTAATCTTAGGTTTACTAATTCACAATTTTATCATATTTCTTAACTAGTCAAAAGCAAATCCCTCTTGCTCATACCTTGTTATGTTAATATTGCATGCTACCACCACTGGTATTTAATCATTGATCAGGAAAAAAAAAATCTGAAGCAGAGATATTAACATGAGCCAAGGTGGTAAGGTCATGCACTTCAGCATGTTTTTCAGGTTATTTTATTTAATCCCAATGGGCTTTTATTTTGTGTGTCAATTTGTATAATAAAGTTGTTTTATGAGATTTAGCTTGCTCATATGTTGTTAGTGCACTTAATTAAACTCAGAAATGCTTAATCCCTTCTAGGGCCCTGATTCTATCCTGAAACAGTGTTGTGTGGGCCCTTATTGAGAGAAAGTCCATGTAATTTGACACAAATTACTAAGGACTCCCTGAAGTGTTTCCTTGTATGTTGGATGAAGGGAAGAAGAATGATGTGGATGAGCATCAGCTGTTGAACTTATCCATTTTGAAGGGAAGGACTGTAAGAAACACTTGGACCCAGTTCTAACACCCATGCAGTCTGAAGGCATGGCTTGATCTGGGTCCATCTGTACCCAAAAGCAGGGATAAATAATACATGAAGGGCTGCAGCTGCCTCCTGATTAAACACTGACCTACCAGCCCTCTGCCACAACATGAGCCCACACACCTCCAGATTCATGGCAAATCCCCATAACTACAAGGTTTGACTCTGCCCTCAAATACAACCAAAGTACAAACACCCAAGATGTATCTTTTCCTGCCCATTCTGCAGTAGTTTTCTTACCTCCACCATCTCCAGATGTCACTCCACAAGGTACATGGTAAGACTTGAAGCAGACCCATTTCCAGCCCTCTCGTTTGTCTAATCCACTGGTCACCACATTTCCCAGTAAAGGTGCTGACATTTGTTTAAGGCTATGACTGAATCAGACCTGTGAGGTATAAATAACAATTACTAGTAAGTAATTTCTCTTAGAAGAAATAACTGTAAGCAATTTTCCCAACATTTCTTGGTTATGCCCAGATTTCTACAGTGCAGTGACTCATATAAAACAAGCCCAATTATTTTAGTATTAGGTGCACTAGAAATATTCAAACAATCATCAAGATAGCATGACTACCTAAGAAAGGCTGAAAGGGTGGCATAGTCAGGATTGAGATCTGATGTTCCACTTCAGCTAAATATTAGGTAAAAGGTAAGACACATATTAGAGTTGTTCCACACCTGAAAACATGGATTATTGTTGGGAATCACTTAATCACTAAAGGTTTATTGTAGTGTGGCCATCAAAATCAGACAGAAAACTCTTACAAACTCAGCCTTCATTAACATAGTTCCATTTTTTTAACAAACGCAGCAAAAAAATGTGGAAAATAACACGACGAAAATTAAGCAGAATGTTCTTATTTTCACAGAAAGATTTGGTTTTAGCTTTTGGGAGGAGATTGAATCGGCTGACATTTTCATACAACCAGTACATCCTTTCGTCACTGCTGAACTGAGTGAGTTCAAAGTCGCTGTACAGAAATATCTGGCGGGCCAGTTGTGGATCTGACATTCAGAATTAGGCAGATGGTAAGCACGAAAATACAGTCTGGGTTAAATACTGACCACATTTGCCAGAAGCACAGACAGAGAAACCCTATCCACGTCCAGATCATAGGCGGAGCACATCCAGATCTATCAAAACATAAAGAGCAGAATTCAGTATAAATTATTCCGTCTTAATAGTACATGGACATCTGACACTATTTTTCTTTCATGCACTTTTCCTTCAAAAGGATGGAATTTCGCTCTGTGCTGGACACTTTGGCCAAGTGCTTTTTCCCAAATGGATGCAATCCCCTTTCTGATCTGAGTGCCTAACACCAGTCTCCTACCATCTCGTCCAGACACTCTGCCCCGCTGCGCTGACGGCTAGGAGGTGATATTTAAAGCCATGCCAATTGAGCACAACAGGGGATAGGCAGAGCAGAAGCAACAGAAGGAGGATTTTGCAAGAGCTCTCTAGGTCACGTTAAACTCCTTCTCTGGCCACGTCCAATGTCCAGCCCGTATGCCTGAAAATCTTGCTTTAAGCTGTTGTTATTTATTTGGAAATTTACTGTGGCTGTGGTTTAACTCCGCATTTCAGAGCTATCCTTTAATTGATACAGTGCTCTTCATCCTTCATAAACAATAATCAAAGGCGCCAATACCTTGGAGGACAGGGAGGCAGGTGATCAATACCAGAGGATGACCAGGTCTCTGTAGGAACGTTATTTATACATCAAAATTTATACTGAAGAAGACAAAGCAAGTCTGTAAAAGCTGTATTCTTCATTAAAAGACTCGTACCTTTGGCTAAGCTTCAGTAAAAGCCTCGCAGACAAACTTCTTTGTTTCTGCCAGAAATAAATATTTATTACTGAACTGGGAAAAATACTCTTACAAAGTCTAACTATTTTAATAAAAAATTTAATATGTTTATTTCTTCCAGACAGGAGATAAAAAGCTGTCAGACAAATAATGGTTTAAATTACAGTGAGATGTTTTCTTTACCTAATCTTTCTTTTTCTTCTTCCTTCAAATCTATGCAGCATGCTCTGAATTTTTATTTTTAGTAAGAAATGTCAAGGAAACACTTTATAGTAAGTGGCTGTTCACTATTAATTCTTTTGTTATTAAACTTGGGCACATTAATTAGCATTAATCGCTTTGGCACTAATATAGATTTCCCACAATAAAGTCTTTACACACATATACAGACCCTATAATCTAATCAAGCAATTTTCTCCTACCTACTTGGAAGGGAGAAAAAGAGCAAGGCTGTTCTCGTTACTTCTACTTTTCTTTTTTCCAATTCTGAGAAGGAGGTGGTGCAGGAGAAATGGAACCTATACACGAACAGAGAAAAAAACTATTGCCACACTCAGTGTATGTAGTACTCAGTCAGTAGCTGTATGCTATAGGTGACATCACTGACATTTTGATAAGGAAAATAGATGTATGTAGCTCACAGTCATCAAGCAAATCTATTTCTTTGCAAAAGCTGAGATGATAATAAAACATTGCTTTTTTTCTTAAGAAAGAAAATAACATCTCAAATAGTTTAGTAGTAAATAGCACAGTGATTTCTAATGCTGTTCTGATGCAGCCCAAATTTCCAGCATCGTAAGTGGATGCTGCTCTTTAGACAAACATAATAGAAATTTACCAAAAAGCCTTCCTTATGAAGAAGGAATTCAAAGTTAGAAACGCTACTTGCTGTGAACAAGGTGATCACAGGAGTTATGTCCTGCTCTGTCAGGCTCCGGAGTTTTACACAGCAGAAAACTGAGCTGCTGAGCTCTTGTCAAGCAAGCCATGATCACATTTACTAATTTTCACACTGACAGGTATTTTCTTTAAAGCACTGCAGAGAACTTTGCTAAATAAGGTTGTCATTACTCCTCAGATGCCCTAACTTGAATAAACATGATGAATGAATATGCTGTATTTCTCAGAACAAACAAGCTGCAAGCATGGAAGCTACAGTGTGACTGATTAAGTATGTATGTTGCTTGCCAAATCTCTGCAGATCAACCCAGGACTTAAATCTCACTTTCACTTTTAGACTTATAATTATTCTCAGAATGAAGTTTCCATAATGAACGCTTAGAACCATTTATTTCAGATATTGATTTACAACTGGAGGCCTTACATTAATACCTTTCTTGGTCGCTGCGGGCCTTCACCACTAATCAGGCTCGGCTCTGTGCAGGTAGAGGAGAGAAAAACTGCTCAGTGATACCCTTCATGGCATAAGGTCCAGACGTAGCATCTGAAAGGCCAAATTCATTCATTCAGTATCCAGCAGCAAAGCATTACAGCCACAAACGAGCAGCTCCTTAAGTCCTTTCTTCTCACTTCATGAATTTAGTTAGCCCTTCCTTGCAAAACTTGAACAAATCAGATTGAACTTCTCATCCTACTCGAGTTCCCACTCTTCCTGTCTGAACCTTTGAGCTCTTCAACATATTTCCTTTTATTCCCAAGAACTCACGTGTCTTTTGCTGTCCTTTAAAATCATTCAAGTAATGCACATTTTGATATAAAATTCAGTGTTTAGAAAAAATGTTTTTTCCCTTTTTCTTCCTCAAAAAAAAAAAAAAAAAAAAAAAAAAGGAACCAACAAGACACATCCCAACTTCATCAATTTGTACATCCTGCTTCCCCAACCTAAATCTTACTATCACCCTCACATATTGCAAACTGCTGCTTTCAGTAGGCAGCTCAGAAGTATTACATATATGTTTTTAAGGAAGCTGGGAAGATGCAGAGATGACATGCTGGTTGTAAATTGTCTACCTGCAACAGTGTATGGATGCACTGAGTTCACACACCTTCCTTCCCGTAACATTTTAAGAGGAAGAAAGGTTGAGACCTGAGTCTCTGTGGCCTTCCACAGCAGACGAGACCATTCTTGCTATGGAGAACACCACTTAAAATGCAGCATACAACCATTCTGATCTGGGAAAATCATGGGTTTCACTTACAAAATAAATACTTGCAATGCACTTGACCGAATTCTCAGTCAGCATTTCCTGGTTTACACCAGCTGAAGATCCTACCTTTGTAGGCACAGAGCTTTTGAGAACATTTATTGTATAAATAGATTGATTGTATTCTACAGGTGCTTGTAGAATGCACATAAAACCATGATAAGGACAAGTAAATTCCTTGCTGGAAGAACCTAGCTGCAACAATCCCACCTAAAAATACTCATCTACTCAGTGGATAAACTGCACCAAGTTCCCCACAGATAGCATGCTAAAGCATAGATCCAAGCACAGGTAGCAGAACAAGATGTCCCTTTTTCATTTCCCTCCATCCATCCTGCCAGGAATGCAGCAAATCTTCTCTCAAGAAGCCTTTGTCTCTGAAATGAGCGTTGTCCTACCAGCAATTCCACAGCATAATGACATGGAATAAGCAATGCTACCTGCAACATTCATCACTTGATAACATTTCAGTGCAGAATTTCTTTCGGTACCCATCAGTGAATGGATTGGATTTTCCTCTTCCTAGGAATCATGGACTTATCAGTATTGACAGAACCAGGTTAACAGCAATCAAAATAACACTACAAATTCCTGCCCCTAGCATGAAGAAGTGTATAATTGCTTTCCCACCTCTTTTTTTTTTTTTTTTTTTTTTCTCCCTTGAGCTTAAAACTCACAGATTTTGGGTTGCAATACAAATTACTGTAAAAATTCACAAATTCTGAAAAAGATCAGGTTGCAATACAAGTTGTTGTGGACCATGCTGTAATGGTGCATCCCTCTTTGCACCCTGCCCAAGGCCCGCCTGGGCAAAAAAATGCCATTGCAAACAAGTAAATTCTGCTCAGTGATTTCTTTCAACTGCACAAAAGCAATGCTCATAGAAAAGGCAAGCTGAGGTTGCATAGCATATCTCTGTAATAAGAAAAAAACTTAGATTCTGAAACACGCAGAGCTTTTTGGTTCATGCCAGAGTTTGGGGGAGCTACCCCAAGCCTTATATTAGTCTAACAACAATAACAAAAAGACCAAACACGAGAATCTGTCAAAATTTCCAGCACTGTACTTCCTCATTTGCAAGCAATTCAGATGTGATTCATAAGCTTAAGGTCACCTTCTGGCAAAAAGACAGTAAATAAATAAATAAATCCAAACGTTCTCAGCTTCTATAGTGGGAGAGACAAAACGCCTATGACTTAGCCAACCTGTCACAAGTTATAAGCATAAACACCACAATTTTATATCTTCAGGAGGAACTTCAAATACGCAGAACAGCCTCTGGTTTTAATCTTATTTCTTTCCCTTAATGATTGACCTACATAAGCAACCAAATCCTTGACACTTTGTAGTTGAGCAATGTATATTTCCCTTACATGAAAAACATGTTCTTCAAGTAAGGGAAACATATATAAAAGTCACTAACTAATAATTACAAAAGACTGAGGACTGGAATGTTACTGTGGTTGCTGCTGTATTTCTGAATTAAAAAAAAAAAAAAAAAAAAAAAAAGGGAGGAAAAAAAGATTTAAAAAGAACAACCTGGTGGAGATTTCAATCCATAAGCAGCACTGAGCTTGCCAGTTCTTTACTGCAGCACTTGACAAGGCTGTAAGCCAGAGATTAAGGCACGTCTCCCGAGGAAGGAAAAGAACAGGAGCTTCCACACTTCATTAAGGATACGTTTTATTTGCAAACTGCCAGCCCACGGAGTGGCACTGACTTTTGGGTCATGGAAAAGGTTACAGTTGTGCACTTGAACTGTGCCAAGCTGAGCTAGATAGTAGCCTTAAAAAAGCAAATCACAGAAAAATGATAAGAAAAATAGGGAAATCTATGATTGCAAACGACCTAAAATAGGACTTGAAAAGTACCTTGTGCTCCAGTCAGGTTTTTCCTCCTCAAAAACTGTACTAAAGCAGGAAAAGTGCCCAAAACAACAGGGAGCTGTTAGCTACAAAATACATATTCATGCAGTATTTTTTATAATTTAAGCATATATTCTCAGATTTATTTCACATAGATTGCTTTAAAAATGTTAATGTCCCTATAGAGTCGAGCCTTATCATTACTTGATCCTTTGCCAAAGACTGTACTGGCACTCCATGACCGTATATATATTTTTTTACTAAGCTATTGTTGCTTTTTCCTGGCTTGTTTTTCAAAATCTGAATAGAAATGCATAGCTTGTACTGTTCAAAGTATAAATCATAAATCACTCATCGTAAAGGGCCAATTCTTGGAGTCTTTATTTGGTATTTGCACTGGCAATTTCCCAATCATTTTCAAATGGAGTTGTATTTGAGTACAGGTATGGATGCCAGTAAAGGTAACTTTTCTTTTCTCCAGGAAAAAGAGGTTTAAGAATAAACCTTTGTGTTCAGTCCCAGATCTTCTTTGCATTAACATCAATAGTATCGTTTGCAATGAAATGCGTTCAATACCACAGAAGTGCCCAGAGGAACTTTACTGTGAAATTTGACTAAAAATAGGTCTTGAATTCACATGTGTGCACTAACAGTGATTGCCAGCAGACTTTTGAGCTGCCCGGACTGGACATGCAGTTGATATGTTTGCAATCATTGAATGCATCATCACAGTTATTGCCCGTACAGTCAAGTACTGCAAGAGTTTCTCACACATTCAGAACCCATAGGAAGAAAGAATAAAAAATTATGATGTCTTTATGTTGTTTTGGCATACCCGCTTCTTTTGTAAGGATATAGTGGCAGGAGCTAGATCTGGAAGAGCCTGGATTTGAACAGCTCACAAATATAAAGGAATCTAAAAAGGATTTGAAGGCCTACAACAGATGCTGATGTTAACCACCAACTCTCTCAACAACATTCCTCCCACCTGGCATTGGATGGAGGTCCTTGGGCACAATCTTTCCTCCAGTAGAGTCTCTCTGCAGCTGATGAGTGCAGCAAATAATACTGGCAGAAGCGAAGGTGCAGATACATCATAATCTGAGATTGTGCTGTATACCTCCATCAATACCTAAAGAAAATAAAAGTAATTAATTTTTTTCTTAATCTGTAACTGAACTAAAATCATTTACGGACACAAAATGCTCCTGCATTCTCTGTTTTTCTTCATTACCAATGAAAATATGAACTTAATGAAATAAAAATATATAAAGTAGCAAGAGTTGTTGAAGTACTGAAGGCACAATGATCTCAGTAAAAATTTGTCTTTCTTATTCTTTTAAATGCATGCTGATCCTAGAGTACTCAGTTTTATTTCACATATTTATAGAATGGTCTATCTTACTCAACTATAGCTGAGAGCTTGTTCCCCAGTTGAAATTCCTGGTCCTCCACGGTTTTCAGCCCCTAATGAGCATTAGTACCACTACTTTCACCCTAACCCAAGATGTCATGATGTCTTGACAACCATAATTAGTAGCAAAAATGGCACCTATGCTTGGTCTAAGCAAAGATGACAATCTTGGGTAAGCATCATTAATGAGATCAATAAATCTACTTTGTTCCATTCCCAGAGCCATCTCCCCTTGCCTTTCTGTTTTGCTATTCATGGTCATACAGGGAAGGGAAAAATCAGGAGCTGTAAAGAATTTCCTATTTTTTATCTTCATCTTTTAGGATAACCAAGTGTGTGAACTCTGGAGGAACACTCGAACTATTTCTAAAGCTGAGAGTAAGGCTCAGTTCTGATTCAAGTTTCATGACAAAAATTATCAGCCAAAATACATTCATCTAGGGAAGAAGAATGTTGTTACTTACAAGAGAGAACATTTGAACTGTTGGCCAACTTTGCTTTGTTCCTATAAATTTTCTTCACTTGCCATGTTCCTTTTGCAAGAGAAAAAAAAACAAGCTATAAACATTAGTTAGCTTTGTGGTGAGGTGTTGCTCTGCCAACCTGAGGTTAGAAGTGGAGCTGAGATCCCAAGAGCTAGGCTTTGTATTATAGTATTGTATTTTTGATGCGGTAGTTAGAAGTCAATTACTGTTTCCATTATAAACCCTGTTTTCCAAGGGTTTATACCTCAACCATTTTCATTTCCATCATGCTGAACTTGGCATACAAGCAGTATGAATACACAATTTTTAAATAGACTAAATGAGGCTGGCTCATTTTTAGATACAGAGCCACTCTATGTCAGATGATTTTTATTCATTGAATTTAACAAACTATAGTTTCACTTTAAAAACTGGATTTTGTCAGTGAACTGTCTCTGTGGTTGGGCCTGATATCTTTTACACCTTCTAAGGAAAACAACTATATTAAAAAATATACATATAAAAGCCTACTGACAAAATTCTCTCTTTAAGTCTGATTTTCTTGGCATTTCAGATGCCAAGACTCCCACACCATATGTTTCATTGGAAACCATTGTGTATCAAGACCCTTGTGGCTCAAAGGTGGGTTTTATCCCAGTAAGTTTTCCTCCTTTCGGAAAACTAGATCAAGGCAACAACTCAAG